AATTATATTTTTACTCTGTTTTTAATTTCAATTTTCCATGTTTTATTTTTATTGATTTTTGTTTAATATGTGTTTTTGGACTTTATTGCTATCTTTTAATCAGAAGGCACTTCGGTCAATTATATTGTTTTTAAAGCGCTCTATATATGAAGTTGGGTTGGACTGGATGTCTGCAGCATATCTGCTTCTCAGACAAACCAGGGACGTATCATCAAGGTAACCAATAAAAGAGCTTTGAAAAAAAAATGTTTAACCCAATTTTGTTATCCCAAAAAAGTAATTTTTCTGAATCTAATCTGGTACTTTTATCACATAAACCAAATCATTCACAACTAGACTTAACCAAGTCATTTTTAATGATAATAATGTGCCCAAAATAATGCAAATGAACTGCAAACATCTGTCACATGGCTGACTTGAACTACAATGTCTCGAACCACTTTGCACAGAAGGTTGTTTCCACCTCTGAAAAAAAATAACTTTTTTTGCCATCCATGAGCCTAAAGTTCAAATTATTATCTAAATCTTTAATTAGTTTCTCAAACATTTGAGTAAGTAAGTTGAAATATTGATATGCCCAACTAGGGCTGGGCGATGTGGCCTAAAATCCATATCGCGGTATAATTTGAAACATGTGCGGTAACGATATATTCTTTTCTTCTGTATAACGTATTTTCCACACTATAATGAATTCTGGTTGTGCTTACTGAACTCGAACAGATTTTGGCGTGCAGAAATCTGTTAAAAAATGTTTTAGTACAACTTTGGTAAGCCGCACTGCTTAATGGATTGTCAGAGCATTACGGATGCCGTAGTGAGAAGCTTCGGGGAGTAATCTGGGTCCAAAACTCCGTCCTCTTCAGGTCCCAAAGTCAAACAAACACAGAGTTAAAAATGGTCTAAATTATTTCATCTTTAATAAAATCATCAGCGTTGCTGCTTTACCAGTTGTTACAATTAAGTTTAACATCCAGGCATCCATGAAAACAGAATTTTTATTAAATTTAACAAAGTTAGAAGTTAACAGGAAGTTAGTTCGCTAATTTCCCCCTAAACATGACATACCATGTTCTGACTGAGAGATTTTTTAACTAATTAAAACGTACAGCTCTGCTATCACTTCCAACATAAATGAAGACAGAAAACTAAACAGCAGTGGCGTTTGCAGGGTTACTAAAGTTGGACTACCTGGTATATAATGTTGTGCTACGTGATTGCTAGCGACACAGCTATGTTAGCATAACATTAGCACAGTGAAGCTGGAGGATGAACGCCAACTTTTTTTCCACTCGATAAAAGTTAACGTGAGGGATTCTGGTTGTCAGGGTCAAATGCAATCACATAGCAGGATGCTATACACGGGCCAAACTTCAGTCAGGAGAACAACTGAGATTATTCATCCACAATACAAGGTTAGTTATTAATATACTGCAACAACATGGGAATAGAGCAGCTGCGAGAGAATTCAACATTAATGAATCAATGTTACAGAAGTGGAGGAAGCGCAGTTTCTGGCTTTCCCCATATTTCAAAAGTGCTTTATCTCTTTGCTATGACTGTCGCCCGGCATAATTTGCAGATGATAATGGTTGTAGCCGCTGCGATGCTTTAGACCAAAACAGGAGCAGCTTGATGACATCACAGTAGAGCAGTATAGTCAAAATCTCTATCGTTGGCCAAATTTATATCGTTTCTATCGTATATTGTTTATATCACCCACCCCATGCCCAACTCAAAAGATTTACGGATAGATGACAAAAAAAATATTGATTTTTTTCAGTGGCATAAACAGGCTTCCATATCGTCAACATAAAAAAGCTATGCAGAGGTTGTTGTTATTACAGCATTACATGCAAGACTGGACAGAGGAAAAATCGTATTTGGGGACACGTTAAGAAGTGTGGGAAAAGTGTTACCAGGAAGACAAAAACAGATTAGAGGTTAAGACCATTTCACAAACTGTGATGAGACTTAGGACTGATGGTGGAAAGCTCTTTTATAGGTTTTGAAAATTGTTAAGCGGCAGCTTTAACTAATCTATGTTGTTTCTTTAAAAAAGGTCCTTAAATGACAACATTGAAAACTTTTCTGATAGCTTTCTTATCACATTCGTTATCATACATGTGCCATGTTGTTTGTCCTTAATTTAGTCTTGTTTTTTCACATCTTGTCCAGAGCTGTCTAGAAAGAAATCTTTTTTTAAAAAAAAGCTGTACAATATACCCTAAAAGATCTCAAGGCTGTACCTTGGTATGCATGGGAATGGATTTAGAGGCCATTCCTGTCAGGCTGCCACCCATGCAAACAAAAAGCAGCTTTAATCATTTGTCAAAGCTAAAGTGGAAGACCCACCCTGGGCAGCTGTCCAAAACAGGAGGAGGCAGCTCCTTGGGAAAATCCGGATGCGCCAGTACCATAAACTTCAAGCAAAATAGGCAAGAAAAAATTAAAAAGACAAAGAAAAGAAAAAGGGTGCTACACAAGTGATGTATTTGACTGGATAAGGAGGTCCTGCATCAACGATCTAGTCAATAAAATACCTTGTGAGGACTTATCAGCAGCAGGCAGTCGGAGGCGCACAAAACCCATTGCCACGCTCCAATCGATTAACCGAAAACAGGCCGATAGAATCTAATAATCATCAGCTGGTCCTCTTGTGTGTGTCACTTCTGATCACGTGACTTGTTAGGCAACAAATAATCACTTATTTAAAAAAAATTTTAAAAAAAAAACCCTTAACATAGATCCTGTGAAGAAGGCAGACCTGCATGGCAGCTTCCTCTGTCAAACAAACTGCTGCCACCAGTTTGGTCTAAGCATGGCAGAGAAGAAGTGTGATAAGAGCTGGAGACAGCCAGAGTTTCACACGTTTCAACAGTCTGCTCCAAATATCGAGCAAGTGTGGAGCAAGCTACGAGCTCTGGCTATTTGAGGAGAGAATACAGCAGGTGCTAAAACGTTTCCCCACGCCAGCGCTCCTTTACGTTAACCACACACAAACACAAGCAGTCCCAAAGCAACATATTCGAGCGAGGTAAAAGTTTTCTTGCTAACTGCAGACAGATGCTACAGACTGGTTTCTTCGACTTACATTTCCTGGAGTATACTCACCCGCCGCGGGGCGTTGCTGCTGGGCGCGTCTTAAAAAAAGTGGCTAAAAAAGTGGCCCCTGAAGACTTTAAGGAAAGTTAGGAAATGAAAGTTTTACTTTGTCCGTCGCCGCTGGCCTTTTAGTCGACATGAGAGCAGCCTCATCAGCAGTGAACAGCCGTGGTAACTCGGTCGGTGTGGTCGTGCTGAGAAACAGCTCCTCCTCACGGCTAACGTCAGCTAACTGAAGGAAACGGCAGTTACAACACACAGCCGGACCAGACCGCACTGCTTCAACTGACACACGATACCTCCTCAGGAAACATCATATTTTCTAATAACTACACACGGCGGCGTGATAACCGTGCCAACGCAAACTGTAACTACGCCATGTGCTCGTTTTGAGGCACTTTTTAATTACGCGATATTCAGCGCAGGGGCGTTTCCAAGATTTTTTAAAGTAGCGGGCACAAAGGGGACCCACGAACAGGCAGGGGGGCATGGTACATAAGTATATGTAATGCAGGATATTAAAAAACCAACAGAAAATCAGACTTTTTACATCAGAATCCTGATTTTTAAAAAAATATTTTTTCTGACATTAATTATGAATTCTGACTTTTCTTTATTATAATTCTGACAATAATCTCAGGATTCTGAGATCTAAATTTTTAGTCAGAATTCTGAGATTAATGTCAGTATTCTGCCTTTTTTTAAATTAGAATTCTGACATTCTGTAAAACAAAAGTAGGAATTCTGTGATTACTGTTAGATATAGATAGATAAATAACTAGCTCAACTACACATTTAAGTCATGGTTCTATCTTATGACCCAAAGTATACAGAAGAGAGCACGATGAGGACCCTACCCAGTCTTTGGATTGGAACAGTGTAGTGCTGTCAGTGACACTCTTGAGTTCAATCCCTGAAAGATGCAGTTCTTAGGGGTGAATAGTTTTTATTTCTGTAAATGGTGGAAACATTGTAACCACTTCTATGTTGGCAATATGTATTCATAATGTAGCTGGTCCCCTGAAAATGATTGCTGAATGAGTAATTCTATACGAAATCACTTGTCTGAAGCTATGAAGCACATGTTAGTTGAGAAAATGGTAAAACCTTTTTAAAACTCTGTGTAGGCTATATATTATTACATTTGGGGGAAGTAATTACATAGTTCTGATCACTTAAATGTTTAGATGTTTAAAAAAAAAGTCATATTTTTGTGTTTCTTTGTGGTTTTCTGTTAGAAGCACAGAAAATGGGAAAAGTCTAGAACTGCATCTTTGACACACCTGGTGTAGTTCAAATAGGCACCTGTGTTGAGGTTTTGTTTTGTTTTGTGTTTTTTTTAGAAAAAATTGATCTGGGCACACTGCACTGATATCACAACACAATTTTGTGAGTAACACCATGGGGGCCAATCAGATATCAGAGGATATTCCACTCGAGGTCTCCCTTCAACCATGGTTTTGTTTATATAGTGATTATAATTAATGATAATTGAATGAATTACAAATGTATAATTTTTTTTCTATATAGTTGCATTGTTAGTTCATTTATTCCATGAAGAGACACAAATGCATTTCATGTGGCAGAACAAAATGTGACCTGTTTTCAGGCTTCTGTGGACCACAAACCTCATTTTCTCTTTGCAGATGTCTACATGTGAATGTGGCACTGTATAACACTCAGCAAGGGCAACTAAGGGGCCATTACAGTGCTTTTAGTAATGTTTGATTAATTTAAGTTATGTCTAAGCTTTATGGGCTCACAGTCTCATGGGTAACAGCATTTACTCATATGAGAGATACCTCCAACAGACAACTGTTAGAGTGTAAGGCAAAGACTTTTCTTTTTAAGAAACTGATGAGTAATTAATTTTGTTACAAGTCAATCTGAAACAGATATGAGAACATGAAATTATTAAATATTTATTCTGTACATTTATAATCACAAACAGCAGGAATCAGTATGACTTCATCCATGGTGATCTTGTCTTTTTGTTTGGCCTCCAGTCCAGCAGCCTCCTGCCTTCTCAAACTCCTTCAGTCCAGTTCATTCTCTTTCTTTGGCTTGTCCTGGATCTGCTCTCCTGATGTCTTTGGCACAGTCTCGAAATAAGGTCTGTAGATGTAAATTCCACCGGCAACTCCGAGCATTGTGGCAAAGGCTAACTGTGTGAAAGGCAGTCTTCTTCGAAACATGATTTATTATTCTTTTAAAATTTAGGATTTCCCAATAGTGAACCTAAAAGAACAACAAAAGAGTTATAAGACACTTTAAATGCTCAAGCCAGTCCAACACACAGCTTTGAAACATGTGAAAACAGTAGTGAAATCACTCATCTCTTTACCACAAAGGCACAAAAATGTGAGGAAAGTGAAAAGTCTTTTTAGGTCTTAGCAAATTCGTTTGCACCACCGCTCAGTGCCTTTTTTCTCTGGAAAACTAACTATATGTATACTATTATTTTGAAAAATCCATATCGGATAATAGAGGAGGCCGATTGCTAGCTTCACAGTTTGTTCACTTTCTAGCTGGGAACATTTCAAATATAAAAACTTTTTATTTAAAAATTATTATTTATAACTTTCATAGCTCACCGAGGAAGCCTTTTGATCGATGTGTTTGTAACTGCGGAGCAGACGCACAAAGATAAAAACCCGAGGAGATAAAAACAGAAGAGAGAACAAGCAGGACAGTCAGTTACAGCAGGATGACATTCTTCTTCTACGCTGAGAAGAAAGCTGCACTGCACCACCTACAGGAGCGTAGAGTTACTTGCTGCTTGCTCACTCACACACACACACAGTTTTAATATAAAGTAAGTTTTAATATTTTAACTTTAGAAATATTGATTCAAACAAAAATTTAATTATATGCATTGCTCTTCGACTTGAATATGCCTGCATATTCTGGCATATAAAATAAAATAATTTTTTGTGGTTATACTCACTCTTTCAAATAGATGCAAGTAAAACACAGCAAAATAAATACAATCAAAGATTCAGCTGCACTAAGTCCTGTTGCTTTTAAATCTATTTTCACCTCTCTAGCAGGAGTGGAGCCGTCTGAGCTTTGTCCGGTGCCACAGCAGTCATGTCAGTGGGGGGGATCCAGGGGCTTCTCTGTGAATTTCACATTGCCATGTCAGTTTGCTAGGTGCTTGCTCAGATTTGAAGTTTAATTTTTACACTGTAGAAACACATTTTCTTCCCACACAGAGTGTACAGTGGACGCTAATGTTTTTGTCACTTTTTATAGAATCAAACTCAAAGTAATGTTAGTATTTCCAAGCTTTAAATGCAGCATTGTCATACTGTCTCCCACACTCTATATTATCGACTGTTGATCTATACACTTCTGTTGTTAACATGGACGTCGCACATTCGTATGTCATTGTCATGAGACACTCTCACAAACAAAATGGTTTAGTAATGCAGTAAAACAGCATACTCATGGGAAGGTAAGAGTAATCTAATTAGTTTTTTGCAATAGTAATCCCTTACTTGAAAAAAAAAAATGTAATTGCATTAATTGTACTTGTAACACATTGCTGCACATCTCTGGTGGTCAGTATCTGAAAGTAGTCCAGGGAAGGAACAGTAGTGAACTAGTGACAGAGGCATGGGCAACCAAGGCTCTCTGACGAGCTACAGAGGTGTCAGAACACCCCTGTGCATTACAGATCAGTCACATCACTTGGATGGGCAGGTGTATCCATATTTTATCTGGTGAAAACCAGGCATCAGGATGCACTATGGGGAGAAGGCAAGTTGGTGGTGGCAGTATGATGCTTTAGACAATGTTTTGCTGGAAAACCTTGTTACTTTGACATGTACCACCTACACAAGTATTGTTGCAGAACATGTACACCCTTCCATGGAAACTGCATTCCCTAATGGCTGAAGTCGACCACAAAGCAAAACAATGAGTGTGTGGTGTTGACTTCGCCTCCAAATTCTCCTAATCTAAATCCAGTTGAGCATCTGTGAATGGACAATATATCCAACCTTAAAACAGCAGGATGACAAAATAAATAAAGGAGCCTTTATTTTGAAGGCGGGAGAGAACGTTTCACCGGAAGTAGACATGATTGCGGAAGCGGTCCATAGTTCATTTAGCTAACTGAAGTTACCTAACATTTATGAAGACTTTTTGGAGATGTAACAGTCTAATAATGCTAGTTAAATAAACCCGAAGCTCGTCCCTGTCGGCAGGCCTGGAGCTCAGTTTGTCTTCACTTTTAAAACTGATTGTATATGTTAACTTTTTGATTGTGTGAGGAGCGAACTTACCTGCTGCAACACATACGCAGGTGAGCTGAGCTGAGCTATGCCCGCAAGAGGTTTATGTGAAGATGGAGAATCTGCGCTCACGTCTGAAGTTTGGGAGTAAAGTGGAGGACGTGAAGCTGAGGAGACGTAAATCCCAGCTGTACTCCAGGCAGGAGGAGAGTCCTCTGAACATCGGTGGGGCTCTGAGATTTATCACAAAGAGAAATAAAACAGGTGTTCTCCGCAGCTGCTCAAATGTGCTCATTTGTCTGACCTCCACAGGTGTGCTGAGCGTGACCGTGTTTTGTGTCGTGTTCAGACTGATTAACTGCCTCCTGGTTCAAACCAGCTTCGTCCCGGATGAGTACTGGCAGTCTCTGGAGGTCTCCCATAGGATGGTCTTCAAATATCCTTTTTGGGAGACACCCCTCACAGAGGGCACAGTGGATACGTGCACTTTTATTCATTCATTTACTTTTATTAAATATTTTAAGCAACTTTGCTGTGTTCAAAGTCACTTAAATCACCTTCCTTCCCCAATGTGATGCTCAGATTGGACTTCAGCAGGTGTCTTGATCATGTCACCATGTCTAATTGCAGTTGAGTTGCTGACCTGTGATTGGCTGATTGCAAATTTGGTTAGACTGTTGAGCTCTACTTTTTTGTGCTTTTCTGAACTTCCTAATTGTTGCCCCTGATACAATTCCACCAGTTAAACATTAGGAAAATGAAAAACTAAACTGAAATGTGCAAACCCCCTGTTTATGTTTATGGTTCCCAGCAGAGATACATGAAGTGACTGTTCACTGTTTTAAATCCCAACAGCAGCTTCATGCATTACCGTTGTTATTCTATCCTTAACACAGTAACTTATGGGTATCTGACCTGGGAATGGAAGGCGGGAATAAGAGGATTCGCATATCCACTTCTCTTTGCATTCTTATATAAGATTTTACAGTTCATCAGCTACGACTCGGTTCAGCTGCTGGCAAGTTTCTTTATTATTTTCTCTCAGTAATCTCTTTTTAATGAGCATTTGAACAATTTCCTGTAGTCACAAAGTTTCTATAAACTTGTCTGGCTCTTCAGATTTGGCTTCCGCGAATTCTTCAGTCGCTTCTGGCTTCGTTTGCTGACGTGAAATTCTTCTTCCTGCTTCAAACGCTGGAAAATCAGGATGTTGCAAGATGGACAGTAGGTGGATGTATGCAGATAATGAAAGATTTGAGTGAATATAAGCAGACTGTTTTGCATGGTGACTGTGCTTGGGATTATTTTAAAGATGGAAGATGGAAACCTGCCTTTTGTTCAATTTACACTGCGGTTTAAGCATAATAATAATAATAATAATAATAATAAAAACGGCTTCAGTGCTCTGCAGTTTTCATACCTAATCCTCACTTGTCTTTCACCTCCAGTTTTTCTGTCACATGTGCTCCTGGTTTACGTGGTTCTGCTGCACCAGGACTCTGACCAACAGCATGGAGGCCACGATCACCACTCTGGCTCTTTCTTACTTTCCTCTTCCCGGGTCCAAAACACACAGCAGGTCTTGATCTTAAATAGAATTTCTTCTAAAATAAAATTAAGAAACATGAAATAAATAAAAAATGAAAAAAAAATCTGAAAAAGTTAAAAGTAAAAAAAAAAACTGAATTAAAAAAGTCAATAAAAATAAAAATACATTAAAAACAAGAGAAAAAAAATCTTACACAAAGGATGCATATCAGAAAGTATCCTTGAAGTGAACTTACACTTTTCAGTTCACAGTAGTGTAAACTGTAACCTTAGCTATGCTTTAAATAAACAATAAATTAAAACCAAAACAGGCCAAACCCACCTCCCCATCAATCTGAGCCCTCCCCATCACTCCACATAACCAGAGACCAAAATAAACATCTGAAATGTAGCTTGATCAGAGTTATAAATAATAACCTCCATCTAAACTGATTGCCGGCAGTTTTAAAGCAAAGCGGGGCACCAAAGTCTCTCCTGTTGAATTACACAGAAGCGAAATGTACTTTTTATTTACCCTGATGATCTCTGTGGGGTGTTTTATATACATGCTGCTGTTTTCCAGTAAGAAGTACTTGGCCCTGGTGGCCTTGGCTGTGATTATTCGCCCGACGGCCGTGATCGTCTGGTTTCCTCTGCTGTTGTATCATTTCTGGCAGGAAGACAACAAACTGAGGCTCATCACTCATCACTACATTCCCACAGGGTTTGTACTTTCAGCCTCTTCTCCTCTATAACCGTTAGCTTTACAGTCTTTTGTCTCCGGTGTATGATTGTTCTGTCATCACTAGGACGTTGGCCATTGTCACTTCAACAGCGATTGACTGCTTTTTCTATGAGAAGGTAAAATCTCTCTGTCTCTCTCTCTCTCTCTCTCACTCACTCACTCACTCACTCACACACACACACATATCCAGTAACTCCCTCAGCATGAAGTCGGTCGGCTGTAACGGCTCCTTTCTGTTTTCCAGTGGACACCAGTGCAGTTTAACTTCCTCAAGTTTAACATCTTGCACGGTGTGGCTGATTTCTACGGCTCTCACCCCTGGCACTGGTACCTCACTCAGGGCTTTGCCGTGGTGATCGGCCCTCATCTCCCGCTCTTTCTTTACGGTTGCATGCTCGCCTTCAAGAGATACAAAATCCTGCTGGCAGCTGTCGTCTGGACCATCGCAGTTTACAGGTGAAGCTGCAACCCACACTGCTTACCTGTTCTTGTGATGCTGGCTTATGGTTATTAAACACAAATGCAGAGTTTCCTTTGCCCCTTATTTTTATTCTTTAAAAAAAAAGATTAGTGTGAAATATTTGATGTCTGTTTGGACCCCGATTGGCTGCAGAGTGGAGCCTTCTATGGGTGGAGTTTCTTTCAACGCATGCATGTGTGGATTTTGGATCTGGGTGAATTGGAGGCTGTGTCTGTGGCTTTAGCTCTTTTCATGTTCTCTGGCATGCAGAGCGTGCATAGTGTGTTTGGCCCATTTAAAACATTTATGTTGGTGGTGCTCGTCAAAGAAACCTCTGCACAAATGTCAGGAGCCAGATTTTTTCCAACAGAACATTGTAACTTAAAGGCAAACAGCTTTATTCACTTTACCATTCAGTTTGATTTAGAGTCTGACTCATTTAGGATTTATTATACCAATTTTATTTTGGTGATTTAAAAAGTCGATAGATCAGCCAATATTTTTCTTTTCTTTTCTGAAACAAATTTCTCAGACATATATGTGTAGTTATTTGTGAGTCGTTACTAAGATAATACGTCAGTCCAGTTTAACAATAATGTTGTTTTACTGTTTTGACAAGTCATGGATCTAGTTTGTACTCTAAACATTCTGCTTGGATCAGCTGATTTTGCCAACAGGGAAGTTACAGAGTGACCTCTGGTGGACAAACTATACAACATCAACACTCATAAAATCAGAATACTTTATTAATCCCTAGGGAAA